AACATTTTTCATTCCTGTGTATCAAACTTTCCCAATTTAAGGAGTGTTATGTAGGAATGAGAGAGCTGGGAAACTCAAGTCATCCATTTTATTGCATCATGTCATAAAAATAATCCGTAGCTGATGCTTTTTTTTCCAAACGCCAAGCGTTTGCAGAGCATGTGCACAAAGAGGAAGGCGAGCAGGACGAAGGGCCAGCCCCTGCCCTTCCCCAGAGAGGTTGCACGCCGGGCACCGTGTGTCCTTTTGGCCTTCCGACCTGCTAGCAGGCAGCTCGTTCTCTGCAGCAATGTGGACCTCTGGGCTTTAAAGTGTAGTGTGTTTTCCAGGTGGATGCCCAGAATGAGACCACCTCAAAATAAAAGAAAAAAGGCTTGAAGATGTTGCCCCTAGATGCCTGCCTGTGTGTTGTTTGATCTAGGAAAGCGAGAGCCTCTGGAGGGGGAAGCTATAATTTCCGACATATGTAAAATGTTTAAGCACTTTTTAAAGTCTGCCATCTTAATTAGATATCTGATTTTTGCAATCCGTATTCAGGCAGCTTTCCTGTTTGCATCCAGCAGACTGCAGTTTCCATTCACAAAGCCCCTTGTTTTTTCTAGCTTTCCTTGGATTTATTTGAGGGCAGTGTTTTGTCTTCTCTGTAAGCCGTTTGGAATACATCTTCACTAACACTGTAGCCAGAGGGTTTGTATGTCATTCAAAAATAAAAATAAAAAATCTCCACCTACTGAAAAGTGAACAGCACAGCCCTAGCAACCGGCTGGTGTGTTCGAACCAGACGAAGGGACATTAAACAAGTAAGACCAAATAACGTCTTCTCTGTAACGGCCAGGCATGCAGTAGAAATACCAGCTAGTGATAAGATTAATTGTAACTGATAGTGGAGATAGCTGCATTTGTTTGTTTCTTCTATTATTATTTTTTTAGTGGTGGATTGTAAATACAGCCTCGATGAAACAATGTTTGTTCTTGTCAGCATGCGCAAGGTATTCAGCTGGGAGCTCTAAAAGGGGGATCTGCCTCTGTAAAAACACCCCCCCACACACCCCGTCTTGCACCGATTGTGCACACAGGAAGGTAAGTGTCGTAATTTTCTTGGAAAGCAAGAGAAAACTTATTTTAAATGGTCTGTCAGGCAGGGTGCTGTCAGTACTTTCCTCTCAGGTGTGTTCTCAATGGCATTATGCCAGGGGGGGCTTTCGTGCGTCTGTCTCCTGTGTGCACCTTGATTTCTCATTCATCTGCCATGTCATAGATCCATCTGTGTTAAAATGGTGATTTTCCTCCTTTTTTTTTCCTGCTTTTGTGGATGAAAGGAATTTAAGCTGCTTGACATCATCTGAAATATTAACTATTCCTTATTTTCCTAAGGAGCTCCATTGTGCTTCTCCAAGATGGATTTTTGTTTGTGTTACGTGATTGTGTGGTTTTCCTTAGTCACTGCCAACAAAAAACCCTAAAGCCTTGAGTTTTCTCTTAGGTTTTATTTCTATTAGGCTAAAGCCATAAAAAGCAAAGAAAGGAATGTACAGATTGGGAAAGGTCTGCTGTGTTAGTGGTCAGCCCAGGCTCCTCTCAAAGTTTGTAAAGTCAGTGGCAGTCTTGGTGCCCTTCAGTAGGCGCAGGGATTACTCTGCTGGTGTTCCAGTATTGTCCTCTTTCCTGTAATCCACAAAGGGCTGCTGATTTATGACTTCTTTCTAATAATTGCATTTCTTTGACTCCCTCTGCACCTCCCCGTTACAACTTCCTCCTACGGTTTGTTGTCTTTTCTTGTTTCATGCAGTTTGGTTCTTTGGTCCGCTGGTGTATGAGGTCTTTGATTTCCTCCTTGCCCATCCATTCCCCACATGCCAGTGATGGTGTGCAAAGAATAAAAGCGATTCTGTGCCCTTCCTGGGGAAGCATGCCTCCAATAATATTTTTCTGTCACAGCGGTTTTACTTCCTGACTGCTAGACATGCACTGTGCTGGGAAGGTGGCCAGAGCAGGATGTGCTGTTCCAGGCTAGTTTTCAGTGACCACTTTTAGGACCAAACAAGCGGGGAAATGGGGTTTTGTTGTGTCATCTCCAGCTGTTTGGCTTGGGGGCTTTTTGTTCTTTTTTATTTCACGTCTCCCAAGTTTCTCAGCTGTAGGCTTGGTCAGGCTGCTAACATGCTCCATAAGTGGTGGAAGGGGTTTTGGAGATCAGTGTGTTTGCATCGTCTTGCTTCACTAAATTTTATCTTAAAATTTCTCACTGCTCCTCTAGGCGGCATAGCTCCTTTTGCAGTAGCAGTGGAGGAAGCACTGTGCAGACTGACATGTCTCTTTCCTTGGAGGTAGAACCAGGTAGATGCTGGAGGTCTCCTGGATGCTGTTGGTACCCCTGTGTGCCACTGCTGCTCTCATCAGTAGAGCTGCCTTGGGGATTTTTGACAGCCATGGACAAAACCCTTAAGAAAGGCAAGAAGTGTTTTTTGTTTTGTTTTATTTTTTAAACACGAGGGAAGGTTGTGCCTGGATGAAGCACAAAGATGGTGACTTTTCTGTGCCTATGAGCCACGGCTTTATTATGCAAGCGTAAATTAGCCGTTCCTTGCCCCCAGTTAATATCTTTCCTAGACAGAAGGTGAGAAAAAAGGGGTGCACTGTGAACAAACACAGTTAGGGAGCACTCTATTCCTTAGCACATTTTCAGCCTGCAGCTTGCCTTTGCCTAGGCAGCCTCCTCATTGCTGCATTTGAAGCTTGATCGTGAGCTGTGCTGAGTTCAATGATAGCCAAGGTGGGAAAGACACCTCTGGAGGTCTCCAGCCAACCCCCTGCCCAAAGCAGGGTTGCCCAGGGCAGGCTGTGCTGGGCAGTCAGTCTGTGAGTAGTTCCAAGGACGAAGATCCCAAAAGGGCAACTCTTTCCAGTGCTTGCCACTCTCACAGATTTTTTAAAATATATTTTTATGCTTAAGTGAAATTTCCTTTGTTTTAATATGTGCCCATTGCGTCTTGACATGTCACTGGGAAGAGTCTGACTCTGTCTTTACTCCCCCCCATCGGGTGTTTATGCACACTGGGAGGATCATGGGCACTCCAGATTCAGGAACATTAATTAGCTTTTGCAGGTTTGTGGATGCTTTGCATCCTTGGTCCTTTTCCACTTAGAACTGCGAGGAATCAGCATTTTGCCTGGGGCAGCAGCAGCCCTGGGGTTTCTTCTCTGTGTTCTCTTTGCCTTCAGAGGGAAATCCAACACAGATAGTTCCCACTCTATGTTCATAGACGCCCGTGTTTACTAGACTAAAAGGTGAGCCAGGGTTTCCTAAAGGGGAAAGGATGAGACTGTCTTCAGAATTGTCCAAGTGAATGTGTTTGCAAAAGCTAAGTTTTCTGGGTTTTTTTATCAGGTGTAGGGGCACTAAACCAAATATCTTGAAGGATCTGCATATTATGGCACGTATTTTACTGCCTGAAGTTTACTATTTACATTGTGTTTAAATTTGGGGGCTTCCTACTTGAAGGCTGGAAGTCTTCAGTTGTGATGCTAATGCATTTTTTAAGATCTGCAATGCCTTAACTTACAGGTATTTTTACTTTTTAAAGTTCTTGGCTTTTCTCACTCCAGCAACTAAACAATAAAGCAAAGCATTTGCCAGAAGTGCATTAGTCTTTGTGCTGTCATTCAAAAGTTACCTTAGGGTTTAGACCTACTTTATGTAATAAAAGTTTTGATGTGGAAGATGAAATGTTTGTTGACGTTTTAAGGATAGCATTTCAGCAAAGCTAGCTGGCAGCCTGCAATAAGAGCTACCTCCCAGCTGGGTCAAACCAATAAGGTGACTTGTAGGAGGGAAAATCCAGTTTATAATGTGGATTTTTGTTTTGCTTTGTTTTTTAGTAGGCTCTTTTCCAGGACTTACGCCAGAGATACTGTGAACAACTTTCTTAATTGCTTGTGTCAGGGCAAATGTCAGCAGCGGTGTGGCCTAATACAAAAACCAAATGACAGGGTATGCAAAAGGTTAAAGTGAGTTTTCCTTCCTGGTGTTTGTTTAGCTTTGTTCCCTAGCTGTCTTTATAGCAGAAGTAGTCTCGTGTGTCCTAGATTAAAGCCACAGCCATCTAGGCTGTTTCGGTAGCTTGTGTGTCCGTTGTGCTGGGGTGGAGGGATCAAGAATGCCTCTGACCGCTGCAGCTCCACGTCAGCAAGTACTTAAGCACGTCCTTAACTTGTAGCCCGTTGGGATTTCGGGTCTACTGGTTCACCTGCCCAGTCAGCATGTTGGGCAAGTTCACTTTTCCAGACTCTGCTGTGAATACTTCTCTGGGGGACCACTTCTGGCTTTCAGAACTTTGAGGGTAAGATCAGGTTGCATCTTTATGGCATGAATCTCTGCTAAGCTTGGAGGAGCGTCTCTGGGGTGATAGTCTGCGCACACACGCTATGTCCAGGGAGTTCTGCGCGTTTGAGATATCCTGCCTCTAGGCAAGTGATTGCATGCCCTGGACTTCTGGGTTGTCAGACATCCAGAAACCTTGGGCAAATGGTCAGACTCCAGTTTTTCTATACCAGCAGATTCTTGGGGAGAAAAAATACAGCCGATAGACAAGTGGTGCATTGCTGAGTTGTAGCTGCCTTTTGGCGACAGAAGGCCTGTGTCTTCTGTGTGAGCTTCCCTGGAGTGCTGTGCAGGATTTCTGAGGTGCTCTATGGGATGCCCTTTCGGTGGCACAAACCTATGGGCAGAGCAGGCCATGGGCTGACCAACAGTAGGAACTGGATTGTCACATTGGTGCTTTGATTCTTTGATTCCAGTTCATGCCTGGTGATGAACACCTCTGAGTCTTGTGGTCAGCAAAGGGCCCCAGCCTTCCTGCCAGTCTGGCAATGGTAGTGTCTGAATTCAAAGAACATGCAGTGAAATTAAATTCTCTTTTGAAGATTGAATTGCACACTTGAGGCTTTGGATCCCACTCACACTACTGGTGTTTCATTGCTCCTTACAGTGTAGCTGGTGATCGTTCCTGAGAAAAGAGAAGATGATGAGTGATGCAAGTGACATGCTCGCTGCGGCGCTGGAGCAGATGGATGGCATTATAGCAGGTAAATGCCTGGGGCAGCTTGTTCATTACACTGTTTCGGTCCTCCTTCCTCATACCTGGAGGGTAAGAGTATAAAGCTGAGAAGGGAATGTGCTGGTAATTGTGTTTGTCTTCTCTTATAGCTTAGCGATTACAAATAAATGGAGTGGAGGGATTGCACAGACTCGCACACAGATACAGCTAAATGGATTATAGTTTTTCTCCTACCCTCTCTCAAAACGCTGCTCAGAGTGGCTGAGTAACAGTTCATCTGGTGTACACAGCACCACGAAGGCCAAGGACAAAGCATGTTTCAAAGCAAGATGAGTGTGTTGAAAGAGTAGCTGCAAGGCAGGAAGAGTAAGCTTGCCTAATACTGGCTACTCTGAACTTCTCCCACCTCTGGAGAGTTAAAACATGAACTGAATTTTGCTTTTTTCAAAATTGGAATGGTTTGCCTCCAAACCATTTGGTTTTAATAATAAAAAATAAACATTTTGAGTTTTTTATAAGTATCTGTAAATTGTAAGTGGACTAAGGAGAGGCATCACAAAGTATACAACCTCTGCTTTTAAGCTGAGTCTGTAGTGAGTTAGAAAATAATATAAGTACACAACACAGAGGAGCAAAGCAGCAAGAATTTAATAGTTTAATCCTATTCCAGCATAGCTATGCAAACAGTTACCCAAACTGAAAAAATATTCTTTGGGGGTAGCAACACAGTTATAAAGTCTTTAATGGTTCCACTTAAAATAATTTCCCTTAGGGAAAAAAAAATATCATACAGTGCGTGCTTTGTTTGAACAATGACTTTTCTCTGCAGTTTTCCTTAAGATATTAAGGACACATAGCAGGAACACATGTGAAATGAATCCAGTTGGATCATAATGATCTCTAAAAATACATAAAAGCTGTGACTTCAGTAATTTCCATAAGCAGATACTGGTATTTGGATCAGATCATGCATCTGTGTTTTCAAGAGCCTAAGTTGGTTATGGCAGGATGAGGTTTAATATAAAAATAAAATGTGATCTTGGGATGTTTAAGTCACCACAGACTTAATTTACCCATGTGTCTGAACAGACCTATAAAGTAATACAACAAAGGGATATCGACTCCTATGCTGTTCTGGGGATTTTTTTTCTCTTAATTTTTTTCAAAGGGAATTAGCAGAATACTTGCATTTTTGTGGCTTGCCAGATGAGATGAATGAAAGTTCATGGAAGTGCGTATATGGCATATCACGGTAGTTTCCAAAAGCTGACAGTACAAAAGCTGATGCTCTGTCACGAACGTGTCTCATTGTGCCAAGGCATTACAGTATTAAGGTCACAAATTAGTGTGCTGAAATTATAGTTGAAATTAGCTAGGCTGATTTACATCAACCTTAATCCTGAATTCATACTTTCTTTCCTTACTTAATATATAGCAACTTTTAATGTAGGTCAAATATATGTACTGTGAATTTATGCAAATAAGAGATTTTTCTCTTTATTAACATGCAAATGTCAGTGCTACCATGTCAAACTCTTGGGTTTAAAATCTTTTTCTAATAGGAGTGATTCAGTCTTTTTATTTATCTTCCTATTTTTCTTTATTCTTTTAAAAAATTTCCAGTACCTTGGAGCAGCATAACATATTTCTGCATGAAAAAAGAGGAGCACAGTTTCCTCTGGAAACCATCAGTGCTTGGCTTGGGTCATGCAATCCTTACAGGGTGACTCAAAGCATTAGCAGAGCCTGTTCCCCCCACAGTACTTTCCATGTCCCATACATCCCAGGGAGCAGGAGCCCAGACTTGAACTCATGGGCATGGTTGTGGCACATGCATCCTTGTGTCAGATCAGCCCACCTCCTTCCTGATGGAGCTGCCCTCCGCGTAGCACATATCAAGGGCTTGCCCTTGTCCAAATGGCTGTACAGCATGGTAGAATCGAGCACCAGCACTGAGTTTGGTTCAGCTAAATGCCTGTCAGGAGCAAACACCGCCTAGCATTTCTCGGCTGTGCTGTGTGTCTGACCTGCTTTCCTCGTGCCTGACCCCGTGCCATTTTGCTCCCTCCAGGTTCGAAGGCTCTGGAGTACTCCAATGGCATCTTTGACTGCCAGTCCCCCACCTCCCCCTTCATGGGGGGCCTGCGGGCGCTGCACCTGGTGGAGGACTTGCGGGGCTTGCTGGAGATGATGGAAGCAGATGAGAGAGAGGGGCTGCGCTGCCAGATCCCAGACTCAACGGCAGAGGCTCTGATCGAATGGCTCCAAAGTCAAATGGTATGGTCTCACCTTGTTTCAGCCCTGATGCACTCATTTTGCCCGTCACTTGTCTGTCAGAACAGCTCAGGCACTGGGCCTGTGCTTTATGGTGGCATTTAAAAATTTTAGAGTAGGTTTCAAAGAACCAAATGGAAGAGATTTTGGTTTGGAGATGCTGTTGTGGATCCTTGGAAAAGCTGTCACGTGGATACATCATACACAGTGGGTTGGCCTGTGCTTTCTTTGAGGTACCACCATGCCTCCATCTAGGGAGCAAAAAATTTTCAGTAACTGGAGTTTCATCTCAGAGGATTGGGGAAAGACATTTTAATAGGAATCAGATGCTTAAATAGGAAGAAGAAATTTCTTTGCAGTATGAACTTATCACTAAAAAGCATTTTTGGCAGTGTATTTTCTGCAGGGACCAGAGTTGTTGCTGAGCTTCCTTACCTGGTTTATAACAGAAGTGAGTGGTGTAAGCTCGGCATCCCTTTAGTCTGGATACCAAACCAAATTTTTTATTTTCTGTGTTTGTGAATCTGCCAGTTTTTGTCACTTTGCTTTAAAAATACACTAAAATATACCTGACAAGGATGTTCTTTCCCTGAGACTTAGTTTTCCCAAAAAAATCAAATATTATTTGAGTGGAGGCTACCTGAAGGCTACCCTGGGAAATAAAATGTTGTGCTTATTAGAAGGTGAGTTACACAGTATCATTTTTGAAGGACCTGCTGGTTTTGCCTCCGGGTGCCCGGTGACTGGTGACTTCCTAGCAGAGCCAGGTGCTCGTGGTCTGTGGCAGGCTTTGCAGTGTGGTGGTCCAGGTGTACCCAGGTTTTGGGGAAGCTCCAGCAGTGGAAGGCAAGACTTATTTCTAGAGGCTGTGGTTCAGGTTTTAAGTCAGGCTGTAGCTGTTACGACAACAGTGGCGGGTGTGCACTTCTGTGTATTTTGCCAAATCTGTCTTACAGCGGTGTCCGGGTCCTGTTGTCTCACACACTTGGTGTTGGCCATGGTAACACCATGCTGCTGAAATGGGATGCCAGATCTGATGACGGCTGGGTCTTAGGCAGGACAGGCCACTGTAGTGGCTCTCTGTGTTGCACTCTGAGCATTGCTGCTGTTGGGACAGGCAGCCACCGTCGCCTGGTCCCTTCCTGGGACAGGCATCACACCCCCTCAGAAAGGCTTTGGTCACCCTGGAGTCACGACTGATCTTGCAAAAAGCATTTTTATCTCTATAAAAGGATTTATTTTGGTGCTGAGTTGCAGCCCAGAGTGGTGGGCGCAGGACTGTTTGCAAAACGTGCTGCTGGGGATGAGCTGAGGGCCAGGCGAGGAGCTGCGGCTGGTGTTAGGTGACCTGATGTGCCATCTAGCGCTGCAGGGAGTGACCAGGACCTGAGCTAGCACAGCTGGGCTTGCCTTCCTGGCTCTTGCAGAAAGGTTGAGAGGAGACTTTTTTTTTTTCTTTCTACTCCTCTTTGCTTTGAAATACGCATTTGAAAGTGCCTAAAACTTAATGAAGCACATGGGAGCCTTCCCACTGCCTCCAGTGGGATTTGCATCACCTCCGCTGCCAAAGTGTGGCAGCCAGTGCTGAGATCAGGAGAAGGAGATGGGAGTGACGTTCTAGTCAGATCTTTGAAACACGCAGAGTTCCTGCTAACATCAGCATTTCCCTCCTGCGTAATGTACAGCAGTGAACATTGCTGTAACTAGGCTGCTCTGTGCAGAGCAGAAATGAAGGGACGTAACAGGTGTCATGAAAGTACGGTCTTTATAATTAAGAAAAAATGTCCACATGCTAAATAAACAGCCTTGGAAAATTAACTTCTCCCCATGCTGTGCATAGACATCAGTAGTCCACGCTTAGCGATGCTGATCCACCACATATTATTCTGGAGTAAAGGAACCCAGCAGCATGGCTGGAGGCTGCAGTGTCATCAAAATTAATGAAGTGAAGGCCAGTCATTGCCCCTTGTGGTGACAAATGTGTGATTTAAGGATGGTTGGCTGTTCAGATGTGGAACGAGGTCCTTCACGCCCCCGTGATGTGGATCACCGCGTGGCAATGACACACAGGTTTCATTGGGGCCATGGGCTGAATCTGGGTGAGGAAGGGCTCTGTTGTGCCATTCAGCTTAGCGCTTCCTGAGCACTGGCAAAATACGTGCAGGGGTTGCATGTAGAAAAGGTTGCAGTAGATGGCTGTTCCATCTATGCTTCTCCTCAGTCTGCCTCAAATTAATCCCCTGTACTCTCTGGCTCCCTTAAAGCCCCTAGTAAAAAAGACTGAACATTAGAGTTTGTACTGTGGTACAGGCATGAGATTTGCAAGCGTCACTGGTCTCTGTCTGGTGTTATGTGAAGTGTCTGGATGATTTGCAGGAAGACTTTCTGCGACTGTGCCCATCCTTACAGAGGAAGGGAAGACACATCCCAAGTTTGAAATCAGTTTAATCCTCCACGCATGAAGAAGTTGCATCCACTTAGACTATTCGAAGCTGCAAGAACTGGTGTGTGACATCCCAGCCAAAGCTGTAAGCAAGCCTCTTGTGTCTCAGAGGAAAACAAAAATAGTGTTTGCTGCTGCCAAACCGTGCGTCATGAGAAAAATCCTCTCCTGGCCCTTGCAGGGAAACCGCTGGTGCCTTAGTTGGGAAAAGGGTCTGACAGTAGTCTCCCGAAGTTGCTCGCTTCTGTAAAACGAAGCAGAGGATTCAATCTTGCCATGCCCAAATTGTCTGCCCCATGTCCCTCTACTGCTTCTTAGTGACTGCTTCCTTTCTGCTCCTCTCAGTGTGTTAGAGAAGTCTATGCAAGCACTTAAAAAGGGGCAAAGAGTTAAAACCCCTCATGCTGATTTTTTAACCAGTGGATGCCAGATGGCCATGTGACACCGGAGTGCACGTACAGTGCCCGGACATCTGGCAGAGTTCTTCCAAGAGAAGCCATCGGATGGTCCCCATGGGGAGTTCAGAGAAGTTGTAAATGCAGCCAGTTTAACTCTATACATGGAATTTTTAGCTGTCTGTCTATAGCTCAAAATTGATCCCTGCGTTGCTGAAACCCTGTTCAAGTCTCTGTGTACCAATGGAGGGCAGGTGGATGTTGTGGTTAAAATTACAAACAAGGACATTTGTTCAATGTCTGGAAAGAGCTTTTCTAGGCTCAGAAACATTGTGACTGTGTGCTTTCCCTGGGGACCAGACCTGAAATCCATAGCCAGATCATAACTATTCCAAAGTTTTGGGTGTTTTCCAGTTTACTCCTGATCAACAGAAATGTTTAATATATCCTGATGTGTGCTTTAATAAAACGTGCTGTACTGTGTGAAAATTGAGATTCTGGCTTGAATATAGACAGCGTGTATGTAATCTGTAGCATCATGACCAGTAATATGACCATTTTAAGTGAAACTCTGCCTTTTGCAAGACCAAGGCAGCCCCATTTTGGCCAGCTGGAAGTTGATAGATCCATCTCTTGAAGAATAATTTTCGGAAACCTTCTCCCAGTCATGAATGTTGCTCCAGTTTTTCTGAAAACTTTGAAATAAATGAGGCAGTTTTCTTTCTGGATATTATTTTTCTTGACTGGTTTTTTTGTGTGATTTTTTTTTAATACATCTCATGCAACAACTTTCTGAGAAAGAAGAAACTGTGTCTTGTTAAAAAGGAGGCTGAAGGGTAGAAGTAGGTGGACAGTCCCTTCCCACACCTCAGAGCCAGCTTCCCCAAGCTCCTGATCCAAACTTGTGTATGCAGGTCCTGTTGTGCGTCTTCTCGTCTTTAAAGGACATGCTCCTGGAACAAAGAGCCAGGATAATAGCTTTTCTTTAAATCCACAGCAAGCGCAACTGTGGTTTTAGCTTCAGAAGTGACTTTCTGAATTTGAATATATATGTATATCATAATATATATTTATTTTTTTTTACTCCAGAAGTGAATTTCTGAAGTTGGCTATAAGAGCATTAAACTAAAAAAACCTTAATGGCCTCCAAAGGTTTCTTGAAGAACATTTTCAGCTCATCTGAAGATGATAGTTAATTTGAGCTGTGGTACCCATAGTGGTTTGTGCAATCCAGAGTGTCGCTGCTGTGAATAGCAGATCTGTCGTCTCACAGACCAACCTCAGATTTTGACACTTCTTCAACAAGTTGGTTTTTCCAGAGAGTGACTGGGAGTAATGAGAGTTAATATAAGGGGATATTTTATTTCAGAGAGAGATTTTCCTGGCTGTATAAACATAGCTTGTAATCTTACAGAGATATGTTGCACGACAGGGTGATTCCCAAGTGGGGAAAGTGGTTTGGTTAGCCAGAAATCGTCTCATTATTCTTATTAATGGAAAAAATCTTGTCTTCAAACCAAAGTTACTTGTTTGATTTTCCTAGTGTGGGCGTACAGTACATTCATTTATCTCAACTTCTGCTTACGTTGAGTTTAGCTATTGAAAGATCCTATGGTAATGTGTGGCACATGGGTGTTTACCACCAAACACCTGTTTGAGAGCCCTCTTCAAGTTGCAATATGAAGGAGCCTTGTGATACCATATCAGTCTGTCATCATAAACTGCCTCCTGGCAAAACATTTTGTCTGTGAGAGATCTGTCTCCAAGTTCTTGAAACACAGGACGCTGCTTCTTGCTAAAGGTGATCACCCAGACTGGTGTGTTTTTAACACTGGAAAATCATATGGGCTCATTTATAGCACGTCTTGGTGTGGCATTTTCATGCATTGTATATGAGTTCATTGCCAGTAAAAACAAACTTTGCAGTCCTGCCCTGGAGCATAGGGCAGCCCTGGTGACAGAGCCATTGAAAAATCACCAATCGCATTCCAAAATGCGTTCAGTTTGGCTTAAAAAACACGGCTTCTGCTCTGTTCTTTTGTTCTGGGTTATTCAGTATTTATGTTTTTGAGATTTTTGTCAATGATAGTTGTAAACATTTCTTTTTAATAATAAAAGCTGTATTTTTTTTCAAATAATCACAGGACTCCCAGAGCTAGGCTCTG